ATTTTTATACAATTCTTATACAAAAAAAATATTCTTAAATTTAATTTCTTGATACACTTATTAACCACAATGAATAGCTAGTGGAGGAATCGCTGGCATACCTGGGCATAGATGAGGCCGTTTGGCAGAAGTCTAATAACAATAACTATTATAACATATCGTTTGCCGTCGATCTCGAAGACAGTGATGCAGTCATTCAATACTTTAAGTCCAGAGGTGTCGGCAGTAAAATGGGATCCAGTATTGGGTAAGAGTTTTATGTATTGACAGTCTACTGGTTAATAAACAATAAACAGTTATGATTACATTTAAGATAAAGTATATAAAACTTTGTTTTCACTTTCATTTGTAGTATAATTCCCTTTTCATTGTATTGTTATGAGGAAGAATCGGATCCTTTGGATGAAATAGAGCTCAAGTATGCCCATACATATGATGACCACAAATACATGAATAGATTTTCATTTATTATGATATTCTTATAATTTAGTGAAAATGGAGAGAAGGATACGATGAGAAAATTGAGTAATTTTAAGGCACTTCAGAGCTCTTTCTTAAAGTCAGTAACGGCTCGGTTAACGGTGGCTCAGGTATGCAATAATTGTTTATTTGTTAACAAAATCTAAATTAACTCATAAATAATTGGACAGGTGGTCGATAACGTGAGAAGTGGTGCTTCCCTGACCTTTGACTTTGTGTGTTATCTCATATTTGCCTCTTGGATCGCAGCCATGGGCTTATTGGACAACAGTGTAGTCAGTCTGGTGGCCAGTATGTTGGTGTCACCGATGATGGTATGTTTGACTATCATTTACTAAATTACCTGAAATACTAACGACTCTATACCTTAGGGTCCGGTAATGGCGATGACTTTCGGCACAATTATAAAAGACGGTTCACTCCGACGGTTAGGGTTCAGGAATTTAGGCGTTTGTTTCGCTATAACTATATTATTTGGTATTTTGCTATTCATTTTTAATCAGTTATCAAATAAGTGCTAATCATAAAAATCCATTTGAAGGCTATTTCTTCGGTATAATTGCATTGAATTTCACGAAACACTGGAACGGAGACCAGGAGTGGCCCACAAATATGATGCGGGAGAGGGGTCTGCCTCGGGTGGCATGGGTGGGCACTTTAGTGGCCTTCCCATCGGGCTGTGCCGTGGCCATATCATTACTATCGGGAAACGAGGCCTCACTGGTGGGGGTGGCCATCTCCGTCTCATTACTCCCACCCGCAGTCAATGCAGTAATTATTGAATAAATTTTATTTACCGTAATATACAGTATATATGATAATTATATTTCAATTGAAGGGTCTCTTATGGGCGTTCGCAACACTCAAAACCCTATACTCTATCGGGGAATCGCCGGAAGATAAATGCTACTATTCCCTGGGCAACTTGACTAAACCCCGGTGCTATAATAATATGCGGCCTTCGTTGAGACCGGAAGAGTTTTATATACCCTTTCATAACGACAATATTGCCATAGAAACGGCAATTTTGGGCGCATATAGTCTTATTTTATCGCTTATTAATATCACCAATATATTTATCGGAGCATTGATTTTGCTTAAGGTTTGCAAAAAATATTTCTATAATTAGGTGTATTCTTGCGAAGTAATTAACTTTTTCTGCATTAATCAGATCAAAGAGATCGCACCGTTATCTACAATGTCGCCAAACACCAGACGCTTCTTCCAGGAGGACATCAAAGTATTTATAGATTTCTATTTCAATGAATATTTTTGCTATGAATATGCG